GAAAAGCGCGCCGGTCCCTCGCGGCGTTTTCCCGCAAAACGCCGTGGTCGTCGATGGGTTAATAGTCTTCGCTTCTCTGCCCTTTAGATAAGTCGATAAAGTCTTATCGTTTTGTGTGGCGAACAAACCATAGGTGAAAGGATATCGGTGTGATCGGGATATAGTAGCTTATAATGATACCTTTTCTTTTTGTATGAGGCGAAGGAACTGTTGATAGCTTCAGCGTGAAGCTACTCAACCATACATTATTCAGCGATGACATCAATTACCACTGATCGAACAATGAGTGACCGGCATTATTCTCAGCTTTTTCCTTTCTACCAACGCTGACACTGTATGAACTAGTTTTGCAAATTCCTCGCCATGTTTTGCAAGCGATGTATGCATTGATTTCTCGCATAGGATTTCATGTTGTGCCGATAGAACCCCTCTGTAGGATGTTCTGGCTCCTGCAGTAAGAACATTTCAGGTCTTGAGATTACCGCCCCGCTTTTAGGAGAAATCAGAGGATGAAGCAAACTCTTCCCCCCAATATGCCGAGCATTCACGAGCTTTTTATCTTCCTCACCTGACGTAACACTCCTTGTTCTTTCACCGCATTGTAACATATATGGGGTTAGCGTGGGCTATTCTGGGTTCCCCAGAATTTTATTGGGCAAAACTCGCTTAAGATTATGTCACCATAACGAGAAGAAGCTTCCTCACGTTTCTTTTCTGCAAGCTTCTGCATCTATTCCTTAGAACGTTCCTTAGTGCAGTGCTGTAAAATGAGTAGTATCCCGTTAAAAAGGGTGAGAGCAGTGTTCGGAGTCAAAGTCTGTCTCACTTCTGCCAAAAGAGTGGTAACCCTAATGAAATTTAATTTGATGCTCGTTATCGGACCTTATCTAAAATAAACTTATCGGACCTTATCTAAAATAATCTATGTCAGAAATATTGGAAAGACAAGGGGATTGTTATTAGTGGGGCTGCAAAGTGTCAAATCCAAGGACATTGAGATTTGAAGTCTGTGATCTACCTTCTTACCTACGTTAGGTCTGAGCTGAAAAGTCAAAGAATCATGGTTGCAGTTCAATGCAGTTCCTTAGCAATTCAATGCGTTTTGGTGAGCACGTAAGCCATGAGCCTGAGCACGAGCAGCGTGTAAGGTTCTTTCACGGGTATTGGACACATTTTCATAGTCACCCATCTTTTTTTCGTGGTGCGCAGGTGTTAATTCCTAACAAAGGCGACCACGGTGGAAGTTTCTCCTTCTATACTTCCACGGGACTCTGGCCGTTGGTTGAGGCATCACGGAAATTCCTGCTGCGCACTAATATACGCTCACGCTCGCGTATGTGAGCTCGTTAAAGAGTCGACAATAGATTAATGCGATTCAAAACAGTGGGAACAGAAAGTGGATCTGCTGAGTTCACCTGCATCTCACAATAAGATTAAGTAAAGGTTTTTGTCCGTAGGTTTGGCACGATTCATGTCTTATTCACCATCTGGGGTCGAGCCATGAGCCCCGCTCTCTTAGTGGATGAGGACTCGCACTGAGGAATGTCAATGAATTGAAATCTGTATTGAATAAAAGTTCGTGGTTTAGAGAGAGCGGTAGTAGGACATTACAGATCTGATTCAGTTGCCGTAAAAGTTTCCTGTGGCCGTGGAATGAAATAAAGTGGTTATTGATGACATCAAATCATATGATTTCCATTGTAAATATAACAGCAAGCGGAGCGCTATGTAATCACTCATTCTGACAATTACACACCAAAACGTTTAAGATCTATTGAAACCGAAGATAGTGTAGTCGACGACCGGTGACTTTCAACGGTCTTTTCCGATTTGAAGTCAACGAGAGGAGTGACAGAATCGGCCGGATACGTCAAAGTGGGAACATTGGAAATGTTTGTTTCAGCTCTACTCTACTCCCATCGATCTGTGGTCAGTTGGCTGTATAATGGGAGAGTTCGTCCTTCTGAAGCCGCTTTTTCCTGGAAACGGTGAATTGGATGAAATCAACAAAATATTTACGGTAAGTTGCGCAATCTGATCAAAGCAGTAGTTATCAGTACGTCTTTTTCTATACAAAACTATTTGAAGGAACTTGGAACTCCGTCTGATAGCATTTGGGAAGGTTACAGTGAACTCCCTGGACCAAAAATGGTTTGTAGTCGTTATTGTTCCCTGTTTGCATTTCCGTTTATGTATTTTCATTGCGAATGTGTTGTGACGAATTCGTTCAATTGCATCCAAATTTGATCCGTTCAAGATGAAACTCGGCAACTATCCTTACAACCAGTTACGAAAGAAGTTTCCTGCGTTGGTGATGAACGAAAGCGGATTCAAGTTGTTGAATAGGTATGGTTTCGAAGTGATACAGGATGCGTCATAAGTATGGTCACTTTCATGCTTTATTTTTGTGCACATTTTTGTAATTTTCCCATGTTTCGACAATTTTTTTTATAAGTTCTAGGTATAGTCTCAGCCACTTTTGCTGGCATGTCAAGGCCTCGGAGTTAANAAAGCACGATCTTGAATTTTGAGATAGGATCGCAGGCCTTTTTTCCCATCGTTGCTCGCATGCTGAAATTGCACAAAAAAGTCTTTATTTGTGTAAAGCGTTATTCTATATCCTGATCTCTGTTCCTCGCTCCGATTCTCTCTGATCAATGATTTTCTGAAAGTAACACGAAAGGACGATCCCGCAGTTAGTCGTAGAGTTTTAGTGTGTGAAAATGAAGTATCTGATATAACAAGGAAGAGGTCATATTCAGTAAAAATCGCCTATTCATATTAAATAATTAGTAAAGTATTGACAAACTTTCGCTCTTCGCTGATCACTCTCACCAAAGTGATCATCTTTTTATCGACGACCATTTCAATGCGCTTCCTGTGTATTAGAAATTGATGGAAAATAATCAAGATAGAGGATTATCCAAAACTTTTAGTGTTTCAGTTCCAAAAAAAAACTTTTCTCCTCACAGATCGTACCACTTAAACCATTCAGCAGAAACCACCAGAAGCCCTCTATTAATAGGCTCACCCTGTACCTTTACCAAGGTTGGACGCTTCAGACTCGTTAAGTTATTCTTGCGAGCACCCTGCCCCTTTGACCGGGCCTAGTCCTCCACCTACCGTAAGTGTTCCCCCATCCTGCCGTTGTGCACCTACTGAATTAAAACGCATTAGGTCCACGGGGATGGGAGATGTGAATTTACGGTCGAACACCGACACATACACACATCCACATACACATACATCGCAAACCAACAAACACGCTTATCATGCTTATTTTTTATGTATACATGTATATCTAATCATGCGCCTACGATTGAGTAATGTCTTTTCATAGTTTTTATATAAAACTCTCAGAGCATTCTAGAAGAATCGTGGTTTTGTGGCTTTTTCGGCGGGTGTTGCTCATTAGATAAGTTCATAGTTCAATTTCATGGAAGTCTGGAGACCGGAAAACTTGTTTTCGAGCTTGATGTCACGTTTCGCTGTATACTCTTTTCTTAACTTAGGTTTCTGACGTATGACCCTAAGCGACGCATTACTGCGGAAGAAGCTCTCAATGATAAATGGTTCACGTAAGTTGAAGGATTTCATGGAACGTTGTTTTTGTGCGCAATTAATGAGAATATAAAAAATCAGTTGTTTTATTTGTTTGACATCGAAATTTATATTCCACTCAGAGCAAGTAGTGTTTTTAGCGAAGATCCGAAACCAACGCCACCGGAAATGTTCCCTACGTTCCCAGCAAAAAGTGAGCAACATCGGGCTCCTCCACCAAAAGCTGATAAGGCCAACAAAAAAGCCGAGATAATAGTAAGTTGCTTGTTCAGGTTAACAAAGAGTTGCAAGGAAGACTGTGCTCTTTCAATGATGTTCTAACTTTTCCTTGTTTCAGAATCCGGAGCGCGCAAAACTGCTCGCTGATCTCAAGGTGCGACCGGATCAAGTGACATCTGGCTCGTTCTCATTGAAGTTTGATAAAACAAGATTTTGAAGGATATATTTATGACTGTTTTCGAAAGCACACTAACGTTACCAGCTGTAAAGTACTTGCATCTGATGGAAATCTTCAGCGCCCACTGGTTTTTGTTACTGTTGCTGATTCATCATGTTTTGCACATTATTTGATTTTGCAGCGCTGTTTAATTGGCTTGATCGTGTTATTCCGAGAGTCTTTTTATTGTTGAAATCACCCTGTGAGTGATGCAGAATTTACGAGTAAACATATCTTTTTTCTCATCCTGTGTTATGAAAATGGCAAAAAGTGAGACGAAAGAAATGGAAATCTAGCGCATCTCAGGAAACAAGTAAAGAGTATTTCAAGTTTTAGTCGTATTCCTCCACTATTCTGTAAACAATAGAACGAGCATGCTTAATGTAATGCTTTTTTACCCCTTTTTACTGGATGACCAGTTTAGTACAACCATACAAAAGTAAATCAAAAAGAAGGAAGGGAGATATAGCGCAAGCAATACGTGTGCACTTTGGTAAAGCGCTAGAGTGGAGGGAGTGACTCCTGGTTACGAGGTTAGATGAGCTCAGTTACTCAATGTGGAGAAAGAGAGCACAGAAGCAAGGGTCTTCCATACGGGTGACTACTCCTTCAAAATAGCATCCTAATGCATTCTCTTTTTCATTTTTAATGGAACAATTTAAGCTGTTTATGATTTTTTAGGAAGAGAAAGCGTTAGCATCCCTACTATAACAATTCTAGTATCATCTAGTCTCGGGATGTCTTCTCCAAAGCGGTGGAGTAAATTTTCCCCGAAAACTACAGTATACGATGTTTCTGAAAAGTACTAAAGTAAAAAATGTGTCAAATTTGATTGCAATTCACGCATTATCATCAAATTCCAGCTCGGGAACAAACATTTTTTGGTCGGTTTTTCAGTAAAGGACGCTTTTTCAACGTCTCCAAATGATACGGTCACTTCATGTTTTCGTGCCGTGTTTTACTTCAATGCAACAAAACTGTTTGTTTATGTAATGTTCTTCATTTTCAAGCAAAAGAGGAAAGTTGCTTTTGGAAGACGGGAAAGGTCAAACCCTCGCGAATAAGGAGAAGGGACTGTCGAATCGCAGATCGCGCGAGATTTAGGTCTATGTCACGCAGTTGTGGCTAATTTCATCAAGAATTCTGAAGCTATGGAGAATTGCTGGACGTCGTTCGCTGCTCTCCGACAGGGACAAGCGCCGTATTTTGAGAAAAGCGTCGGACTCACCAAGTTCTGTATGGAAATCCGATCGTCTCCAAATCTCAATGTCACAAAAACTGTTTGGAAGGTGATCAAAAGTCCAAGTTCATTTCAAGGGGAAAATGCGTAAAGCGTCCTTCATGTAAAAATACATCGAGTAAGTGGGGTCGCTTCCGCCAGAGGGTGCAGCGGAACCGAGTGGAATAAGGCACTCTTCAGATGCTGACATTCGACTTTCTGATGGTTTTTGCTCTCAGGTCGTCTTTTCCGATGAAACGAAGTTCAATTGTGATGGTCCAAACGGGAACCGATTTTACTGGCACGACATGAGGAAGAAAAAGCTTCATTTTTCTAGACGGAACTTTATGGGAGAAGGAGTCATAATTTGGGCCGCCATTTCATCGATCCATTTGAGTTTTGTTACGAAGAGATTAACTCGTCCTTTTATAGAATTGTTATGCATGCACTTCTCCCTTTCTGACGTCACAATCGGCGCCGAAATCTTGCTTTGATGCAAAGTAACACCCCCATTCACGTCAGCAGGAGCATCTGAGCTTGGTTCTCTCGGCATCGGGTTGCACTTCTGCCCTAGCCGGCGAACAGCCCCGATTTGAACCCGGTTGAAAATGTATGGGATTTCATGGTGCGGAAGATTTACGCCCGAAATAAGAAATTCCGAGGTGTCAAGGGGCCGAAAAAAGCGATTAATTGAGCATGGCACTTATTTGAATGATAATTTTTATTTGAGCCTAGACCACAGCATTTCCAAAGTAATCCGAAGGAATGGTGGGCCAGCTAACTATTAATTGTGCAACTTTCTCTCCTTGTTGTATGTTGGTTGTTGAACAAAGTATTTTGTTAGTGGTTGTATCATTTGGAGACATTGGAAAAGCACCCTTTACTGAGAAATTGACTAAAAAATGTGTCTCGGGATAATTTGCGGAATGCCATTCAGATTTGACCCATTTTTTTCTTTGGCTTGCTTTTTTACTTTTTCAGAAACATCGTATATAGTGAGTTTCTCGGAAAATCAGAGGTGGCTGTATCATTTGGAGACGCGCTGTGTTTGCAAAGTTGAAAAAATCAGTCGCGTAGTCCTAGATGAAAAGGCTTCTCCATTGGAAAGATAGAAATGGTACATGGTGTTGAATAAGGAGTGATCCCGCGTGAATCAACCACTAATTCTTGTGGCGGAACTATATATTCCAGCCACAGGGAGTTTATCTCCTTATATAAATAGTGGTTCAGTGGTGTAATATTTATTAGATAGATGAATAGAACAGTGATCAGGTGACAATTAGGAGTCCGAGGGCAGCCGCCACTCGTGAGCTCCTTTATGATCATCTGGGTGGTCGGGCACAAAGAAATGTCTAAAACAAAGGGGTCGCGGTAATGCGCGACATTCCCCACGCCAACAAAAATTAACAACAATCATTAAATATTTAATTGGAGGTTTTTTAGCGTTGGTGCGGTGCGGCGTGATCGGCTGGTTGCAGTTGATGCGGTGCGGCGTGGTCGGCTGGTTCCAGTGCATCGTGGTTGGACGATCGGCTGGACGTGGCATTGTGCGATTGAGTGGTGCGGGGTGGCATATGTTGTGCAGAATATAGAGTATAGTGCGAATATTGGGTTAGAGCTTAGAACTTCCTCTTCTTAGGGAGAGAAGCCGCTCTTGCCGGGCACAATAGAAGAGAAGCCGCTCTTGCCGGGCACAATAGAGCGTTGTGAGGCTGCGGCATATTCCGCATCTGATTTCACACGCTGTTTCGTGCGCAGGCTTAAAGCACTGCCCGCAAAGTCCCATTTTTGAGACTTGGAAAATGCAGGCATAAGCACTCGGAAAGCGCGGGCAGCGCCCGCTTTGGTGCGAATCCTCGTTCTCCTGTAGTGTACAGAAAATACAGGCTGAACGAGGAGTAGTGCGCTCGACCAACCTTTCCAAGGCAGGTTTCAGACTCGTGAAGTCCTCCAACGAGACTTGAATAAGGGACAATCTTTCGATTGTCGCTTCGAGCTGCTCGATGCGAGCCGACATGGTAGACACGAATTCGTCGAGCTTCAGAAGGGTCACGTCGCTCTTGTGATCTAAGGTGGAGGTGGTCTTCGTCTAGCAGGGGTTCGTAC